AAGTGCTTTAGACACTACGCCACCAGAGCTCCTTGTTATAATGATAGGCCTCCTTTAATGAAGAGCTATTTGTATCCAGCTGTAGCTCTTACATTAAAACAATACACATGCTGACGTCTCCACAGTTCATTTCCCAACACTGTGAGGCAACTTATCATTTTGTTTACATTATGTCCCAGCAAATGAATGAAAAGTCAACTTCAGCTCAGTGCAAGTCAAACTATTTTAAATGAATGAAAATTTCAAGTACCCATCACGTAACTGAGGATAAGGCTAGCATGCTTTTGACGTGATATAGAGCCTTATTGCTCAATCATTCTAGGCCCCAAAAGAATGTTTAGAACAAGCAGCATGTGGGAGAATGCTAGCACAGCCAATGACAGAAAGTGACAGTGATGCCTCGCCATATCAAGACCCAACCTGTTAAATCCAAAACTGTGAAATAGTGAAGGTACAGTAGTCAGAATGAAAATAGTCTGATTTTACAGAAAACACTCACACAAGACATTTTTCTTCAAACAAGGCTTTTATTTTCATTTTTCCATCCAAAACTAAGTAACTTTTCATTTTATTCACGAGCACAGAAAAATATTCCAAAAGGTAAGAATCTCAATGTCTCTAAATGCAAATTCCTACAGGGAAAAAACTAGCAATTGAAGCCTAGAAAAGCCTTAAGGGATTAGAAAAAGATGAAAAATGCAGCTGGAAACTGAGCTCGGAGCTGCCAGGGCTGGTGTGGATAGCTGAGGAACAAGAGGATTCAGCTTTCCTCAACCAAGCTCTCTTTGTTGTTGTTGTTGTTGTTATGTGCCGTGGAGTCGGACCTGACTCATAGCGACCCCTTCTTGGGTTTATGAGGCAGTGTCACTACAGAAGTAGATTGCCCCATCTTCCTTCCGAGGAGTGGCCGGTGGGTTTGAACAGCCAACCTTCTGGTTAGCAGTCAACTGCCTTAGGTGCTACGCTACCAGAGCTCCTAAGCTCTCTTTAGACTATAGACTATGCAATGTTGAAGCTGAGACTTCAGAAAGGATATGGTAGTCGAGAGTTGGGCAGTAATTTATTCAAGCTGAGCCAGCTAGTTAACGATAGAGGTAGGGATATTTTTGTGTGTTAGTTGTGGTCAAGTTGGCCCCTACTCATGGCGACCTTGTGTATAACGGACCGAGACACTCCCTGATCCTGTGCCATCTTTGTGATCGTTGGTGTGTTTGAGCCCATTGCTGCAACAATTGTGCCAGTCCATCTCATGAAGGTGGGGATATGCCCCAGCTTTTGTGACTCAAGTTCAAAATTCTTTCTAGTATCCACACTTTAGTTGCCACCTCGGAATAGATTTTTAAAAATCTATTTAAAAATTAAATGTTTGCCTTACTTGATTATT